GGCTGGAGTTCAGAGATCAGGATTCTAATTTCTGCTCTGCTATTTTCTTGTGGTGTGACCTGACCTACATGGCTGTGCAGGGCTGTAAGACAACCCCCACACCACCACCACCTCTGTGCAGCCTCCCCATGTCTCGTTGGTCTCAAGCACAGATGGGAGGAAGCAGGGGCTGCATGCCCAGAACTTTTTCCCCACCCCCATACAGGTCAGCAGGGAGTGGACAGAGAGGACTAACTTGCAGCTCTACCCCCACTCAACATGCCAGCTGGCATAAGTGAGCTGGCATGGGGGGAGCTGTAATCTACTACTGATCACAGTCAGTATCAGATTTTTACTAACCTCCAGGAACAAGGAATTGTAGCTATGCACTGCTCCATACACAGGGTGGTGCCTAAAAGCTCAATCTAACCCTAAACCTCTCTGTGCCTCAGTTCATGATGACGCTTGCTCATCTTTGGCTAGGAAAAGCAAATACACTGTGATTCACACTTACTGAAGAAAATAAACAGAAAAATCGTGTGTAGTGACTCTTTTTGTGATGAGTGAGGCCTTGCTACCAGCTGAAGATCCAAGTGATGAGGATTGTTAAGGAGTCCCCTTTTTGTGTTTACAGGATGAAACACAGAATGCGAGGCAGAAAGGGGATCCTGGCTGCAGACTCTACAAAGGAGATCATCTTTTTGAGCCAGAGTTGGAAAATTTGATATACAGTATGTTCCTCTTTGGCAATGAATCAGGAAATAGAAAGAACTTTAACTGTCTTTCTTTTATAGTGTCCCTAAGTGTGCTACAGTGGCCCTTTGCAGAAGGTATAGAAAGACTCACTCCCTTCCCCAAAGCACATGAGGCCTGGTCCAGAGTCTATTGATATCAATAGAAAGCTCCTTTTGATTTCAATACATTTTAGATCAAGCACTTACCATCTACCTTTCAGATGTGACATTAGTAAGGGAGATAAGCAGTAGAGACAGGATGGAGCAAGGAGGTTTGGAAACAGTAGGAATATAATCAAGATACTGTTTAAGCAAAGGTGTATTTATTTACATAAAAACACAACTATGTCAACAGGACAGAAAATAACCTAGAGAAGAAACATGAGGTCCATATTCAATTCACCAACACACAATTTTCACTTGTAAATTGCAGTGAATAATAAATTCCCTTCCACTGTGTCCATGGTGACACTGAAATGAGATAATTTGGTCCTCACAGCTGTTCCTGACTTGTCAGACCTTCATTCCGTGCAGGCTCACTGATGACTCAGAATAGGCTGCCACAACACGCTGCTGCCTACTCCTATGAGCTGGAGCAACATGCACGCCCAACTAGCACTTGCTGCTGACAGCCGCATATGTGCTTGCTGGCTGTGGGGGCTGCACACACCCACTAGCTGGCAGATTACCTTTTCTAGAGGCTAGAGGCCCAGATCCCCAGCTGGGATATCAGCATAGCTCCACTGAAGTCAATGGAATTACATTGACTTACACCAGCTAAGGATCTGGCCCATAGCATGCAAGCCAGCATGCTAGTCATAAGTACCTCCTAGTATTGCTTTGAGCATTAGGATTGATTCTGCTCTGCTGCTTGCTCCAGTATAAAAGGCTCCCTATACCCTGTTTCCCTTTACATGCTAGCACAATAGAGGCCAGGATCCAGTCCACAGCATGCTAATTTTTTTGCATCATTCACTATTCTCCAACCTTGTAGGCTAAATTCTTCCCTCACATGCACATTGATTTCAGTGGATGTTGTACACATGTATCTGAGGGCTGAAATTTGAATGTGCTAACATAATCCCTGGTGTGAGCATTCACGCAGTTGCATCATCATGTTCAGGTTAGGTTATTTCTGATCAGAAAGCCATGTAAACTGAAGGGAAATCATATACCTGTTGTGCTAACCTGAAACAGAACAGCATACCTCTCCCCAGTTACAGTGTGATATTTCCATTAATGTTCTATGAACCAGTTCCAATGTATTTACTCAATCCCATCCTGACTATGTGCAGATTTTGAAGACTCTTCACAGAAAGTTTTGACACCATTATGTGATACAAGAACATGCCTTAGCAACAAGGGCTCTCTGTATGTAGCAGACTGGAAGGAATCCTCAGATAATGAAAGAATATTCTTCCCCAGGGAGGAATCATTATCCAAAGGAGAATCAACACAACACAGCAAAATGCTGTACTGGTCAAAGGAAAGCTCCATTACTGGAAAAGACTTGATTAAAAAAGCATCATGGGAAACTGAGAATGAGGAAGTTTCACTGGCAAAAGAATGGTTACCTCTGGAAGATGATCCAATTGTGATAATGGGGGAGTCATTGCTGGAGTGCATTGTTAAGGAATCCCCCATAAAAGAAGTGTCTTATTTTCTCACTCAACCCACAGGCTCTTTAATAAAGAAAAATCCGTGTTTTGTTACTGAAGAATTATTTTTCAGAGAGGACAACTTTAACTTGACTGGCAAAGCAGCCAGTCAAGAAGGAAATATGGTAAGACTTCAAACTGCAATCCACAAGAAAGTGGAAGCATGTTGATGAAAACGATGTTCCCTATTATAGCTAGTGGTGATATTTGAAATGATGTGTATACCTAATCGTACACTTTGTGGGAGAGTAGTGCACCTCCTTGATGTATGATGTTATTAATAATAGAGTCGATGTATTCTATATCCCCCCTTGATACTACAGTTGGGTGCATTAGAAATGCCTATTGAATTAACTGAGCCCTGAATTTTCTGAGAGCATATTTTCACTGATGTACAGATTCAGTTTACAAACACTTACCTTCTTTTGGCAGACAGCCACTGAACAACATGTTGACTGTGCAGAGAACTTGAAGGATATTTCTCCAGTCTCTTTGGATGAAAACATAGAATATATTCGAGCTCTGATGAAATCAAATAGACTCATGAAAGAAAATATCAAGAGCAACTTACTACATAGTTGCAACAAAGAGGAAAGTGTTGGCGGCAGCGTTCTGTCTGAGTCTGTGAGATGCCTTTTATTTATAATTTTTCTATCCTTTTAGCCACAGATATGTAACAAGAGGAAGACATTTTTAGTTTAAATGAGTTGAAAAGCTGCATAAAAATGTGTGGGCCAAATTCTGTTCCCATTTACTATTAGTTTTATGATAGCATCTGAGAACTCTCAATCAAAAATCAGGGCCTTCTTGTGTTAGGCATCACTGATACCCAGTTCTGTCCCACTGAAGTCAGTGGAGTTGCCCAGCAGAATGGAAAGCAGAATTTGGCCCTTTATCTCTCTTTTCGTTGAGTTATACCATCATTGAGTGAAATCTCCCTTATGTAGGGCATACAGAAATTCAACACATACATTAAAAAGCAACAGAGAGTCCTGTGGCACCTTTAAGACTAACAGAAGTATTGGGAGCATAAGCTTTCGTGGGTAAAAAACTTAACATCTTTTTTTTGATGAAGAGAGGTCTTTTGCACAAAAATTTTATACACCCACACAT